AAAAAAAGTTTTGATCATTTCGGGACTCTTCTTTCAAAGCACAGCATGCTTCCACGCGACCTTGTTTTTGTTCAGCAGTCAGCAGTCGTGGCACGAATTTCGCAGCCACCCTTTTCATTCCCAAATCTTCTGTCAAAATTCGCTGAACTGAGCTCCAAGTCACTCCCGACAGCTCCCCAATTTCTTCAATGGTCCGTCATCGATCTTCCTTAATGATTTCACGAATTTTTTCAACATTTTCATGTGTTCGGGCCGTGGAAGGACGACCAGAACGAGGTTTGTCATCAATTGACATTTCACCATTTTTGAAACTGGAAAACCACTCAAACACTTGAGTTTTCCCCATAGCATTGTCCTTATATGCTGTTTTTAACATTTCAAGAGTTTCTGTTCCACTTTTCCCGAGCAAAAAGCAGAATTTCACCACTGCACGCTGTTCACGAAAATCAGCCATTGCAAAAACGACGATCACACAAAACAGTTGTCACTATAAACTCTGCCGAAACTAGTCCTTACCTTCTGAAGCAACGGTAGTCGGCTTATCGACTCGGGAATGTTAGCTCTATGCGCTCATAGCGGCAAAACGCGGTACTACAAAAGCTCTGCCCACAAGAAAATTAGTTCGGTTTCTTTTGGGTACCCCATCGTAAGTAAAGTTAGGATTGAATTCCATGAAAGGGGGCCTTTTCTTGTTTAGCCGGTGATGATCATTATTGGAAGTTGACCAACACTTCAAAGGAAATGCTTCACATGTATTAGGTGCCTATGTTGTCTTGCTAAAATGCTAGTATATAAAATATGTTTTGTTGAAAGTAATAGAATTTTTCAGTTGATTAGAACCCTGCTGTGAATTCTAGTGATGATCATGTTCCTTCACAGTAGGTTTTCTGCATTTTGTTGGCCCTTTGCGATGTGTTTTGGTGATCTCTTACTGATGTCAACTGCAGAGAAACTCTTGAGGTTGTCACACCTTAAAATAGTCAAAACCTACATAATGATTTTTTATTGTTTTTCACTAGCTCTCTTTTTGAATGTATTAAGTTCAAAATCAAGGTTTTTGGAAGGTTAGCTGACTCAGCAGGTGAAATCCCACTGTAGGTACATGGCAGTTGACCTGTTAAGTCATAATATACTTGAAAATCTGTAACATATACTGTCCACTTTGATTTTAATAACCCAAATGGAGTAAAAGTACTGAAGTTTCTGAACTCTTCCAGGTCCGATGTCTGAATTGCAGTTCAGAGTCCAAGAAGCATGATCCATTCCTTGATCTCTCATTGGACATACCAGAAAAGTTTCAGCTTCCTAAGAAGACGAAGGATAATGAAGAATCCCTACCGCCTTGCAATATATCTGGTCAGGAAAGAGTTCGTAAGGCATCTGTGCTAATGAAATGTCCAATATATATTATATCCAAGATTTGAGGTTCTCACAGTGGTAGCTATAAAGAATTCTGTTCTTTAGGATGTGATGCTGCTTAGTCCATTGGAAGAAAACTGGCATTTCAGAGGAACATGTTGCCTCCATCTTCAGGGACAAGAATAAGCCCAGCTTATTATTTGAGCTATGTTCCTCTGAAATGCTAGTCAGTGGACTACATAACATTATATTGCTTGGTTTTGTGCAATCTGCCCCCCCCCCTGAGAGTTTAATAAACACTAGCTTGTCTTAATATTGGGTCTGGAAACAATACATGGTAGATAGAGCTATGAAAACTATGCAACTTTTGTTAATGCCCCCTCCCCCCACAGCATTATGAAATTAGTATTTCACTCATATTTTGTGGCTGTGCCATAGCTGAGGCAGTTAGTTGCCAGATTTTTACCACAGAGGGTAAAGTTCAATCCCAAAGCTGTTCATGATGATTTTTGGTAGGCATAGTGGCAATGGGAGAGGTTGTTTCCCAAATACTTAAATGGTATATGGCCACTTATCATTCTACCAAAATTCCATCCTCTCATGTGTTGTCTGAGGCTAATACAGTGGACCCACTTTAGGCCTAAGTACCAAGGATGTCTGGTTCACCCCACCACAAGAATATAATTAGTAAAATTACTCTGTAAAGTATTTATAAGCATAAGCAAGTGAAGTATTCTAACTTGTATAGGTCTCATCCTATGAACACCTGTGCATTAATTGGGCGTTCTACTCATTCCCCATTAGCCTACTTTCATTACATCATTAGGAAATATGGACTTCTGTTGTGTCTTTCTCAGACACCACCTCTCACCCTGATTAATTTCTGAATAAATCAACTGATTTTCAATAAACTTGATCCGACCATCATTCATCTAGAGGCTGCCATTAGTGACAATATCCCAGACACGCGCTTGTGAGGTGGGAGCGACGCTGGTGCAAATAATACAGTCTAGAGCACCTAAATTAATGTATGGTAAGAAGTCTTCGAAAAATACGTTCTGGTATAGAGGTAGATCATAAACATGTGTACAGATTCTGTGTGAAATATTTTATATGTGTTAAAAATTATAAACTGGTAATAAGATGAAATTTGGAGTTGAAATGAAGATCTGATAGCCGTGCAACCTTCTTCCATTTGAGACTGGGTGGGGCCAGACTGTATGAATTATTGTTACTGTTATGCCCAGAAATGCATTGTTAGGCTTCTTCTGTAGACAGTATTTGAAGAAATGTATAGAGCATGTTCTTTCTAGAACTCTCTGCTTTTGTTGTTTCTTCTGGCTCTGTGAAACTGTTTTCCATCTAGTGTGGCAAGTTGTACTCACCTGTTATGTTCTGATCTCACATATGTTTAACCCTTCAACACAGGCATTTAAGTAACACAGTTGTGAATGGCCTGTGGTAATACTTTTTTTTTTAAATACCCATTTAATTATTGTAAAATAAATATATTTTTCATAACTTTGTAGCATGTCAGGTACAAGAAGTTCTGATAATAGCTGATTGTATACTTTCCTTTGATATGACACAGACCTCATAGGAAACGATACCTCTGACAATTCTTTGTTTACTAGGCAGTTGCCTAATAATGAGAAGGGGTATGTGATATGACACAGATCATATAGAAAACGATGCCTCCATCAGTTCATCTGTTGCTTGTGTATTTGCTGCCAGCAGAATGTGTCTGCTGAACCATTGCCTAGCAACAATAAGGGGGGGGGGATACACAGACTGATGGGAGGGATTTATGTAGTAGGCTGCTGAGATGGGGTCATTTGCCTTGATATACAAGGTGGTTCAGATATGACTGGGACTAATTTTTTTTTTTACCATAATTGCCGAACACTTACTTGCATATGTCAGTCTTCAACGTACTCCCCTCTGGAGTCAACACATTTTTTCCAACATTCTGGAAGCATCCTGATGCCCTTTTCAAAAAAGGCTTGTGGTTGGAGGCGTATCCACTTCCGAGTAGTCTGGATGACGGCGTTGTCCACAAACCGTATGCCTTTCAAGTCTGATTTGAGCCTTCCAAACAGGTAGAAATAACTTGGGGCCAAATTGGGAGGGTGCAATGGATGTGTCAGAAGGTTCCATTTCAGTTTCCGGAGGATTTCCGTTGTTTTGGCCGTATGGGGGTGTGCATTGTCTTGAAGGAAGGCTACCTGCTTTCCACCTGTCTTCCGCTTGGATTGGAACTTTTCCTTCATGTCTGTTGCTAGGAGGTGTGACTAATAAGCTGCATTGACTGTTCTGGCATCTGTCAGAAAGTCTACATGGATAACCCCCTGCCAGTCCCAGAAGAACATCACCATCACTTCTCCTGCCGAACGGCTCCTCCACACTCTTGGTTTTGGGAGAACTGCTATGCCACCACTCACATGATGACTGCTGGGTCTTGGGAATTAAGTAGTGCGCCCACGTTTCATCTGTGGTCACTATACACTTCAAAAATGCATCACCTTCATCTTCAAATTGCTGTAGGAGACAACTGGCAGCTTGCATGTGCACCGTTTTGTTCACGTCCATCAAAGTGCATGGTACCCACCGTGCATTCACCTTGCGATATTGCAGGTAGTATTTCACAATGTCTTCTGCACTACCAACACTGATGGACAGCATTGCTCCAAGTTCCTTGATAGTGATGTGCCTATTCTCACTAATAAGCGCATATGCACGATCAATGTTTAGCTCAGTGATGGATGTTCGCGGCCAACAATCACGCGCTTCATTGTCCATGCGCCCTCTGCCCTCTCCGAAGCACTTACACCTCTCAAACACACGGGTCCGTGAGAGAGACTCTTCCCCATACTGTCGTTGGAGTCTATGGTGAATTTCAGCTTTTTCTCCAACGAGGAATTTGATCACAATGCGTTGTTCCACGCTCCGCTGTACCTTCTGTTCCCTCATCACTCTAGCAACTCCCAGACAGGCCAGAACAGGTTCTAACCCGAACAGGAGGGAGGGTGGAGGTTGTGACTTCACTCTCTCAAGGTCTCACAGCTGCTGCGCAATGCGGCGTATTTACACACAAATCAGTCCCGGTCATATTTGAACCACCTTGTACATATCAAGTTTCATAAAAACTGTTTCTGGCATTCAAAAGTTGGTGGGGGAGGGATATACAGACAGCAAAGTGATCTCATAAGCCTACTTTCATGTTTTCAAAGTAAGGAAAGTAAGGTAATAAAAGTGAATTTTTCACTGAAACTCTCATCATCTGAACTAAAGTCACGAATAATTTTGTTTAGAACTACATTCAGAACTTGTTCAAGCTCTGTGAGTGCAGAACTCTTTGACAGTCTGGCCATGATCACTCTGAGGGCTCATTTATATTTGGACTCACCTGGTCAGCTGCAGAAACTGCAAGGTTATTGGTACATGAACAGAGAGTTATTTCATTTCACAATAGGTCACTGCAGTCCTCATCACACTCAATGTATTTATTCCTTGTTTACAGGCCAGAAAAACTAAACTTACAGCCAGACATATAGTATACGTTAAACCATAGATAGAGCAATTGAGTGCCCAAGGTAACATCTATGTTTAACCACACTAATGGGTTAAAAAGTGCTCCTCTGTTTCATGTATATGTACACTGTATGTATGTTTACATATTCTACAGATATTTTTGTCATTTAATTTGGCTCATCTATAATACGAGGGTTTTAATGTTGCAGACTGCCTGACAAGCTTCATTGAAGTGGAGGAATTAGCGGAAACTGAATTATACTACTGCAACAACTGCAAGAGTAAACAGAGGTCTACTAAGCGATTTTGGATTAGAAGACTGCCCAATGTGAGTCGAATGGGAACAGTTGCTGATACTGTACAATCATAGCATATCTTCCTTACAGTTTCTAGGTGGATCATGGATTAAATCCCAGAACTTCCTATATGGTGTGCACGCTTTTTATGTTGCTCTTTGGGAAAGAACATTTGCAAATTAAACCTTAACATTCTTTGGTTGTTGGTATACAAGATACATGTATTTCAGTTTGGTGTAATTAATTAATTTGATAGTGAACCAGCTGAAGTTGAAAGTTATTAATGAAGTGCTGAGGAGAAAATGAGACTCTCAGATATGTGGACAAGCTGGCAACACTGATGTGCTTTATCTTGTGATAACACAGTTATCCAAAGTGCTTGTGGGGGACTTTGGTTTTGAACGTGAAACTAAATGAAATCTTAAATGGGGCTAACTTGATGCTTAGATCACTGACTGTGGATCATTGAAGTTGAGTACTAAATGAAGAAAATCCTTAAGTTGAGGAACAGTAAATGGTGGTTGCATGGTGTAGTTGTTTTTGTTTGTATATTTTCCCAGTTCAGTTGGCTTCCCATTTGGGCCTTAGTTTGGCTTGGTTGGTTTCTATTCTTGCCATCATTTCTTGCATCTGTTTCTTTATACTGGTGTTCATTCTGGCCAATAGGAGTTCCACCATCCATCTGTTGTGTTTCCATAATATGCTGATGTAACTAATGATACAGTCATAAATCCAATAATCTGATCAATCTGATCCAATCTGTACCACTTCTAATACCAGTTGTCACGTATTTATGGTCATAACCACTGTTGAAGAATCCAGAACAATACAAGCCGCCAATTTCTGAGACCAGTGTGTTGCATGTAGTGTGGTACGCGTGATGAAAATGACGGGTTCTAGTTCAGATGTTTGGATTTATTAGCACTTTGGTTACAAGTTCTCTTAATCACATTTAAATACAGCCCTGTCACTGATTTACACACACTGGTCCTCTCCTGGTACCACAATTAAAACTTAGGAACCTTAACAGTCTCACTGAATCACACACTACAAGTATTACACATAAATGAAGCCTTCTAATCACACACTTTTAAGTCTTCACAGGTCAACAAACCTCCCCTGGCTATTTTCAAGTCAAAGTCACATTATGACTGACGGTCAGTCAGTCTGTCTGTCTTGGTGTCGAGCCCCTTATTTTCTACTGAGATTTTTAAGATAACTCATTTGCACAGACTCCATGGAAAACACTGTCTCCAATTGGATGCATGTTTACAGCTGTGTTGCCTGGCAATAGACTTCATATATATTTCCATGCTTTTACTCGGTGCGGACCGCATGGCAAACACAGTTTCCCTTCTAATGTTGCCTCTGTTCGTGTTTACAGAGCTGTTGCCTGGCAACATGTTGATCAAATCTGTTACATTATATGCCAAATTACATAGCGGCCTCCGTAGTGTAGGGGTAACGTTCCCACCTCGCGACTCAAGGTACGTGGGTTCAAACCCGGCGGAGGCCGTGGAATTTTTAAGGGCAGAAAAATTCAGGGAACAAGTCTTCCGGGAGGGACTTTAAGCCGTGGGTCCCATGTCGTAGATTTATGGCACGTAAAAGATCCTCATGTCTCTAGGAGACCTCTGAGCAAAATCAGGCAACACATTTCCCGCCCAAGTAGTTTCCAATGCCTCTGGTNGGCATCATCAAACTGGTTGGTGTAGCAGTTATGCTTCAGACTCACATTTGGGAAATGCTTGGTTTTAATCTGGATCAGTGACTGGCTGCCTGTCTGTCTGAGGCTTTTATGTAGTTTTTGCCAGTCTCTTCAGGTAGATATCCGAATAGTATCTTAAATTATACCTTGACAGCTTTCTTCCACATCATTCATATGTCACTCTGCTGTTTGATGCTGTATAGTCAAACTTCTAAAAGGTTTTTTAAAATAACCCACAAAATGAATTACACAGAGTCACATCCCAGAAGGCAGGATACTTCAGTATTATTGAAGTTAAGATACTGTTTTTGATATGAAACCTTCCTTTCGAACATTGAGACTTCTTTGTCTGCATATTTGTGCTTACACTTCTTACCATGTCTGCCTTAAAGATGTTCACCCTCATCCAAGAATCTAGTTTCTGACATGAAAGTGAGGAACACAAACAATCTTTCAAGGGTTTGTTAACTGCATCAGAACAGAACTGCTGTCTGCTCTGACATGAAGAGATGGACAGTTTTTATTTATATGGATTGAATGTGATGGAATGTATTTTGTTGCAAATTATTTTTGTAATGTAGGAGAAAATAATCAGTAAACTGAACTGCCGTGTTCTTATACTTGGACATTGACTAGCTTAATGTTTCCAGTCACAATAATTTCCTGGCTGTCCCTCATGTGGGGAAATTGTTTATGCTGGTTGCATGAGAATAACTCATACAGATATGCAGTACAAAGTCAGAACAACACAGTGTGGCTCTAGTTCTCTTGTGGAAATCCTCACAGGCAACAAAGCCAAGTGATGGGTGAAAGATTTCAGATGTACTGTAATGCAGTCACAAATTCAGCTAGCCTCTGCTGTAATTATGGTACCTCCTTGATGGTGGATGGCAGGCAGTGCTGCAAGTGGCAGTTTAGAGAACTGTTGCATGGTGGGTGAAAATAGCACATCACAGCTTTGCTTTGAAGTAACTTTATAAAAACAGAAAATTTCCTTTGGCAGTTCCACAAGAATCCTGGATGCTTGGATACCAGGTAACCAGGAGTTTACTGTAATTTTTAGCTTATAAATTTTATCCGTTAGCATATCTTATGCACCTTTATGAAAGAAGCTGGAGGGAATGTGTTGGTGGGATCTGAACAATTTTTAAAATATCAGCCAACTGAAAAGAGGTTCATTTTTATAATGCCTATAACGTGCCATCCATGGGTAGTAAATTAGCCAAGAAGCGAAGTTTCTGCAGACCATAATCACAGCGAGCTGTCTGTTTAAGCTTCTACTTGGCAAAAGAAATATTATATCAGGTATCATAATGTCCATACTTTTATAGCAGAATTAAACAGTTCTATTTATATTATTTTCAGTTTAGTGTTTGTCATATTTGGTGAAATAATAAAGGCAAATGAAAATTTGGTACACAAACTGATGGGACATTTGTGATTTTATAGGCATTACTTTATATGATTTGTGTAATAGTATCTTCTACTGTCTTTCGTAAAGTGTTGTGTTTATTTTGTTCATTTGTAGTTGTTTAACAACACTGTCCGTATATCATACTGTGTAGTGTTGAATGTTTGAATGCTTGTGAATTGGAAATACTTTAAAGCACTATTCTGGAATTTGCCTAAAGGGGTTGAAGAAAGCAACAAGAAACTAAGTCAGAATGGTTGATGTCATGGCAAAGGTTTCAGTCAGGCACTACCAAACATAAGTCAGAAGTGTCATTATTTGAGATGTTCTATACAGAAAACATGGCCCTAGATAAAAGGTTTTCCCTCATTCAGTTTCACTGATCCAAAATCAATATTTTTTATATTAAATTTCTCCATATAAGGTTTTCCTTGCTGTCGGGTTCAAATCAGTTGATTCCCAAAGAATCATTAAGTTTAAGCAAGTTGGCTCTCACAGTAATGTTCTGACTTGTCTTCAGTTTCAATTCATCCATCCACTCTTGGGTATGGGCTGCATGCTTCTCTTTTAAGCAGCTTCCATATGTCATTATTCTTATTTTCAGGTGCTGTGTCTACATCTCAAAAGGTTTCGATGGCAGAATTCATTACGCACAAAGATAGACACGCACATTTCATTTCCAGTCACAGCGCTTGATATGTCACAGTTTGTCTTAAGCTCATTACATGAAACTCGGCGCTCAGGGATGGGAAGCAATCTTTATGACTTAGCAGCTGTCATTGTCCATCATGGTTCAGGGTGAGTGAATTTGTATCTTACATGATAATACACATCATTCCACTATCCTGAAAGTAGTACCATTACATATGAGTGTCACGTATAGAAGGCTCTTATTTGAATGTTTTCATATACTTGTAACAAGTTTCATTTTCTCATCTCACTTTAAGAACTGAAAATCTCTTGAGTTTTGTCAACTTGTTTGGTTCCAAGGCTTTTGGGGAGAGGGTGTTTGCATTGTCTGTTGTTTTTTATAAGATGTATAAGTATGTATTTGCTCTATTTATTTCAGTGTTTGTGCATTCAAGAGAATATTGCTTACTTAATGGCTGTGTAATTTCTCAGCTTGATAGGGTTATCGATATGCTGATTTGTGAGTGCATGGATACATATTGGGCAAAAGAATACCACTAAATACTGTGTTTTAATTGTATGTTATGCAGAGGAAATAGTTTTTGTTTAATGTAAGTGAACATTCATATTGTGTATTGACTGTTTTGTATATTGTAGTAATGATAGTATTATATCAGCATTGAGATTTACTACCCCCATATAATCAAGGAAGCCATTGAAATAACAAAACACTCGCATTATTTTGTTATGAAAAATGTTCAGTCTACAAAACTTGTTACTCACCCACCTTTCTTGAACACCCACATTACCCAACCCATTTACTTCTGCACAGTGGGCACTAAATCTTTTTCATCACCTCTTCTCTGAACCTTATGACCACTAAAACGTTTTGAGCACCCTTATCCAAACAATGTAGTTACTAAATCATTCTTCACGTCTCCTTACCTGGTCTATAGGGATCATGGTGGTTGGCAATGTTAGCGCAAATCACCCTGTCAGCATTATCGGTCTTTATTTCCTTTTCTCTGTCCATGATGAAAGCAGACATGGCCCTAGAATTTATTTATTAAATTTTAAAAAATTTCATAGAAAAAAATCTGGTATCAGAAGGGACATGTAGTACAGCTTGGTGCATTGTGAGGACATGGCGAGTGTTATGAATTGTGATTACAGTGAAAAGTTGGTCTGCTAAAAAAAAATACTCATCTCAAACTGGAAAAGTAATTCTCACATATGCCTAAAATGTAGAGTGCTCCAGGTTTGCATGTTGATTTCGTTTGTTTCAATTCAGGCAGTACATTGTGATCTGTTATTCTGTGAGATTGGCCGTGACAGTGAAGGCTGCTGTCAGCTGCAGTGTGATGCTATATAGCATGATGTTTACTGACATTTTAGTGTAACATGCTGCCTCCAGCTTCTGTCCTGAAGATGGGGGCAGTCTGTTCCTGTGCTGCATGGCATCACATCTCAAATGACAGTAATTTTTCTTTTATTCTGAAGAGCACTGTTTTCTGGGGTATAATGCTCTGTATTTTGAGGAGCATACATCCTTCAACTTCAGTAGAAGAATAAGCCAAGCGATTAGCCAATAAGAAGTAGGCAGTATATAATAATATTCACAGTGACTGCTGTGAGAACCTCATATGCAATCTCCATTTTATTCCTTTTATTGATTAGCGCTGAATCTTCTCTGCTAAATTAAGTTTTGTACCAAATATAGCAGTAGCAAATAACTTGTCAGTCTTCATACACTAATTTGGTTTCTTCTTGCAGTCCTCAGTCACTCAGTATTAGAATGATATTTGGTCTCTTGGAGTATAGTGATATACTTACAGTTTCTTCCTTTCTTACAGGGCGGGATCTGGTCACTACACAGCATTTGCAATCAATGATGGTAGGTTACATATATAATTTGCCCTTTCCATACCTATTTTTTTAAGCAAAAGCAAAATTCATATTTTGTTTTTATATGTCTTCCGTGTGAACTTGTGTTTTTCTGCTGTATGTGAAGGAAGCCTCACGCTTTCATCTTGAATTTGCCATAGTGTCAAGCTTCATGGTGGTGGGCTGGGATATCGACAAAGAAGATAATTTAAACACAAATATATCAGAATAGGAGTACACAAGCAAACTAGGAATGGGTCTAGGGCTCCAAATAACCGAAGTCATAACAGACAGACTTTTAGATGGCAAGGCAGCACTACTCTTATCAAGAGAGAACATGTGAGGCACAGTATGGAAACTAATAGAAGGTGTATCGGAAAGTTCCTGGACTGTTATTGTTGTAAATGCCTCAGTGAAAGAAGATGAGAGGGGAGGTTAAGGTCACACTTCCACAAGCCAAGTACATCAGTCTGCCACATGACACCTTGCTGCGAACAGGTACTATTTTTACACAAGTGCTTCTTGGACTCCGTCTTTCGTTTTGTCTGCGATGGATGGCAAAATTGAGCAATGCATCTGCATAAACTTTTGCTTGAAGCTCGGTAAATCCGCTAACAAAACCATTGAAATTCTTTGTGAGGCTTTTGGAGAACATTCTTTAAATCGGACAGTGGTTTTTGAATAGCATTCATGTTTCAAGGCCAGTTTGGTGCCAGTTGAAGATGACCGATTTTCAGGGTGACCAAGGACCAGCAAAATGATAGAAAATGTTGAAAAAAATTTGAGAACCCCTCCATGAAGACTGTCGCTGAACAATCCTCGACTTTGCAGACACCAGTTGGGATCAGTTATGGAGTTTGCAAGGAGATCTTAACAGCAAATTTGAACATGAGTCACTTTGCCATGAAGTTTGTTCCCTGACCTCTGTTAAAGTTTGGGTGACATAGGTTTGTCTTCTCTGTATATCAAAGCCTAGGGCTTGTAATCCTCAGTTTATTACATCCTTTAAAAGTCATTTGTTACTATTCATGAATAAGATCACCACATGGCAGGAAGAGGTACTTACGCTTCAGTTGCATTGCAGTTTCAGCCATTGCCAAAAATAACCTTCTGAAATTGATAGCATGCTCGTACATGTTGATTGCAGTTGTGTTTGAATGCAGAAGAGTGGAGCAGTGGAGAGATTATCTTTGGAAACATTAGCTAGAGATGTGAACTATTTATTTTGAAAGTTCTACCCATTTGTTGCATTTGATATGATTCAGAATGATGTTAATTGTGTTTTAATACAAGGGGAGATTGCAGAGTATGCATGTGAAAACATTTTATAACAGCTATTAGTAAAATTTATAGGATGTCTCTCAGTGTCTGTTTTATATGTGAGGGCCAGATCACTCAGCCACCTTCTGTCATGTGATTGGTCAAATTGTGGCTCAGAAGAAATGTACATGATGTTTAATGGTGAATTAGACAGTGACCACTGTGATGCCCTGTTAGTACAACACTCCATCTAGATAGCAGTACCCTTTAGCACATATTTTAACAAGTTTAGTTTTCTAGTACAAATGTTACTGTCTTTGTGATGATTGTTTTTAACAATTTCCTCGTGAAATTTTAATTAATAATTATTACTGGAAAATACAGTGCTCACAGTGACATTGGATGTGGTGTAAATCTTCACAGTAAATGGGATTATGAGAGCTGGGATAGTGCAGTCAGTATAGCAACTGGCTACGGGCTGGACAGCCAAGGGGTTGGAGTTCGAGACCCAGCAGGGTCAAGAATTTTCTCCATTTCATCCAGACTGGCTCTGTGGTCTACCCAGCCTCCTCTCTAATGGGTACCTGGGGCTTTTTCCTTGGGGGTAAAGCGGCGTGAAGCTGACCACTCACCTCCAGTTAGTGCCAAGATCAAGAAAATATGGGTCTTTACATCCACTCCCCCATACACCTTAGTGCTTGATTAGTTAAGTGCAGGGACATCTTTACCATAAGTGGGATTATAATTCTTCGCCTTTTATAATTAATGTTAGATGGCTTTGAAGTTTCCTTGGCACATTTCAGTAAATGGATGGTGGGTGGAATTATTTGCTGTTCCTATTAAATGATGACAGATGCTCTTTCCTCAGGTCAGTGGTTCCATTTCAATGACAGTACAGTTCGCCCAACAGAAGATGAGGTTGTGGCCAAATGCAAGCCATACATTCTATTTTACATTCGCCGAGAGTTCAGGCTGCCACATCTGAACTCGTGACAACTTGGACATAGCACCTGGAATCATGCTGCATCTCAGTGTAGTTAGAGATTTCCGCATTTGTGGAGGCTGCAGTTAAGAACTGAGCCTTCTAACTAACTTAACGTCATAATACAAAGGTTACGTTAAGTTTGAAGCGTACTTCTGGGATACATTTATTTTATGAGGGGTTGCTGTGCTTTGTATAGATGGAAATTTAAAAAAAAAAAAATCTTATGCATTCCTTATTTGCTGGTATTTTCTAATTTTGTTTTCACTAGGAAATTTGAATTTCAGACATTTTATATAGCATAAATTTCTGACATTGTAATCAATTTATTAATTTGAATATGATGTAAAATGAATGTTTCTGTGGTGTAATTTTACATATACAGAAAGGTTCATTCCTTCTGTTTACCTTTATTACTGCCTGATCATTGAGCTAGATGATGATGACCACTGGGTTTCGTCTCTCAAATTATAATATATCAGATACTGCACAATCCAATTGGAAGTTCTGTTTAGCTAGAAAACTACTTAACTGTTACTACAATACCTGCCTAAAATGGCATCTTCTAGCACTGAACCCATTTCACACTGGCTAACAAATTCTGTGACACGTGTTAAGTGTCATGTTTCATGATTTCTAGGCTAACATTCTGAATGTCAGTCTGTAAAACATCAAGAGTAATGATTATTTCTGTAGACCTTCATTTTCAAGTTTCTCTTGAGGTACAAAACCATACACATTCAGTTCCAGAGAACATGACAGCATGAGTCATGTGTCACTGTAGCCATCCTCAAGATTGGCAGCATAAGTCATTACAAGTTTGTTGGATTTGAGGCTGTCACATCAGTGACTGTGAAGAGTATGTCATCTGGGTTCCCACCATATATAGTTCAGAGGATGTTCAACATTTCAGGGGAAGATATCACTTCCATCTTCACAGTTGAACAGTAAGCCAAGCAAGAATCCAGCAGGAGCAGATAGTATGCAGGAACATAAGGTGATGAACAAATGATTGTTAGAGCACAGTTTCCTTCATTTTACCTAGGTACAGGTATGTGTGGTTTTTGTCTTGGAGGAAATTTTAAAGTCTTCAGAAATAATGAGTGCATTTTGCCACACCATAGTTCAGGTGGTTAGTCACTGGCTTCCCACCATGGCAGCCTGGGTAGAACCCAGGTCTGGTGATATGGGATTTGTGGTGGACAAAGTGACACTGGGGCAGGTTTTCTCTGAGTACTTCTGTTTCCATTGCCAATCTTCATTCCACAGTTGTTCCACAATCACCTTCATCTATAATTGGGCTGGTACAGTAGGGCAGTAGTGGCTGCAGTACCGAGTGGACTCAGTCCCACCCTGGTAAGAATAATAATGCATTTCGGAAGCTTCACAGTTCAAAATCTATGATGTTATTCCAAAAATCATGAAAGGTGAATTTCATTGTGCCACAGAATTTTTTACATCAGTGTGAAATGAATTTGGATGTTGGACACCGCTTCCAGCTGCTATTGTAATATCAGGTAACTTAAAAACAGTTATATTGATAACATTTTTCACATGTGGACAGAATGTCCAGTTGGATTTTGCAGTAGGATGTTAATTGTCTAAGAGAAGCTTCCAACTGGTTGGTGTCTTGCCCTGTGATTAGGTGGTAATTAGGCCTCAAGTTATGAGATGAATGTCTGTGTATTTATTTATTAAACAGACGAGGTCTGTGCAAGTTAAGAATAGAGATTATAAGTGTATATTACTGACTGGTGAGTTTTCTTGACTTGTGCAGCCTTGGAAGTTTCATTTATTATTTGATAAATGGATTTTGATTCACATTGATGTTTAGTTTTTGTGTTAAGACTGTCATTTCAAAATTTGTGAACAGAAAAAGAAAAAGCAGTATCTTTCATAACCTGTTTATTTAATGGAAACATTTACTTTGATTGGCCACAAACTAAAATTACAGAGCCATAGGGCAGAAGTGAATATGACAATATCCCATTTATTTAAACGGTTATCTTCCAACATGATCATCGTAAACCCTATAGGCAGGCTTAGGGTCTTTTGTTCTGAAGTGTATAATCTACAATTAGAACATAAACTTCACTTTAAAACAAGGCTTGTTGTTTTATTTGTTTTCTGTAAATGTACCCAGTGAATCAGACAAAGTGTGCACTTAATGTACTGCTATCACATGCAGAATTCATTGGTCAGGTGTTTGTTACTTATCTGGTACAGAGTCTCTATGTCAAGTACTGAACTGTTATTGCACTCATTATACTTAATTAATCACAGTTTGTAATCACCTCCATGCAAGAAAAAAGAAATTCTTTATTATTGCACCAAATCTTCATGGACATGTGCAGCTTTCAGGCTTATCTGTTTGAGCCGAAGATGTAGAACAAGGAACAATTCTGAAGCTGAAATTCGATATACAGTTTTTTTTTTAATTTCCTCCCTTGAAAGATGAAGTTAAAGAGTTTTGTACCAGATGTAATCAGTCTTCAAAACGTCATCCAATAGCAAAGCTTCTAAACAAAGAGCTATCATAAGAGTTTTCAACAGCTAAGGATGAAATAGTGAGGAATGTTTACAAATGTCTAATTCTGTTCTTAATAGAAGCACAGGTATATGCTGGGTGAATTGTGTGAGATAGTCAGAAGAAGGTAACACCAGGTTTCATGATAAGCCATGTAGCAGCCATGAACTTTGGCCTTGACACATGAGACCTTGCAATATGTGAATGACATCATTGGCCAGGACTGATGTAACATGTACCTGGAACTGTTTCTGCAGCTGACAATGATAGAAGTGAAGTGTGGATAAAATAGTTCAACAACTGGCTTATTCAGAAGTGTGTTCATGGGTTGTTGCACATCAGTTGGTGCCAGAACATAAAGTGCAGCTTAAGGATATTGTTTCTAAATTTCTGGCATGATGTTGGGCAGATTGGAGATGACTTTCTTTCATGAATTGTGACTGCTGATGAAACGTGGATTGACCATTTTTGAACCCAGAGACAAAACAATGATCTTTCTTAGCAGAACAGTGATGCTTCTGGTTGACACAGACACTGGAACAGCATGTTGCTGTCATACAGAGACTTGAGCCGCATGCAGCAATTTCAATCAGAAAGGGAAATAGAAGATGTCTTTCATTTACATGATAGTGCAAAACCACACACCAGTCTGGATACATCAGAAGCCATCACAGAACTGTGTTGAGCTGTGTGGCTCTGACAGAACCCAAGGAGAAATTTCTGATAATGCCCTTGTTTCCAGTGTGACATGTTGCAAGTCTGTAGAAGAGGATGTAGATTACGTAGATAAATAATGTTTTGAAATAAGACATGAATGCCCAGTGCTGGGATAGCTCAGTCATTACAGCTATGGGGTACGGGCTAGATGACCAGAATTCGGTTCTGAGCAGGGGAGAGAATTTTCTCTTCTCCATAACATCCAGTTCAGCTCTGGGACCCATCCAGCTTCCTGTCCAGTGGGTAACAGAGGGTCTTGCCTCAGGGAGTAAAGTGGCAGGGGCTGAAGCTGACTGCTCATCTCTGTCTAGTGCTGAGGTCAAGATGGCGGACCTTTACCTCCACTCGCCCATTTTTCTTGTCATAGTCCTTGATTAATTAAGCACAACACAACTTACCCTTTCACTTTTATACAGTGCTGTAATTCCCCATGAAATATTAAAACAGATGTGATGATAGTGAATGAATGTGAGAAGGAACTGGCTGATATATAGCATGTTTAAGGTATTTATTATCTTTCACATATTTGCTTGTAGTAATTGCATGAAAATGATACATCAAATGTCAGCTCTTTATGATAATTTTGTAGCAAGAAAAGAATTACGGTAAGAACTGTTAGATTAACAGTTGAATAAGAACACCCCATTTAATTTATATTATCTTCATCTGGTCAGTTGTAAATTAAGTTAGAAGTTAATAAATGCACAGTACAGAAATGCTTGAATAGCAGATTCAGCACATGATGGATAGGACATGTAAGGGCACTTAAAAGATATTTCATTGGGAATTGGGACTTTTAACGCTTTGCAGTGCTTTGTCTGAAGGCTTGTGATGTAATTTCCCAGTACATTTTCCACTGCTAGAAGTCCCCTGCAAGCAACAGTCATTTACTGACACATTACTATCACATGTTGAGAACAGGTTATGTTTATTCTTAAATTATTTGGCATCTCATCCTCTAGCAGTTGGTGTATAGGAACAACAAATGGCAGAAGTTTTATATTATCTGAACTGACTTGGTGTGTACATTGTTTTCACATCATTATGAGGTTGGAAATAAGAAGGATGGAATGTGGGTAATTCTAATGACACAATATTGTGTGTCAGCATCCTTTTGCGTTAATTTATTACTTATACGCCAATATGCTTCCATCTCAAATGCAACTTTATTTTTCATTTACTCCTGTTTGCTACATGTTTTGGCTTAACCCGGCCATCATCAGTCGTTTGTCTTTCTAAAACTTACATTGTATTTTCCACTGTATTTAAAATGAATTAGTTGCAAATTAAAATATATCAATTTTGTTCCAATTGTCATCACTGATGCTGCAAGAAGCATGAGAAAACATGGCGAGTAATGCGCTCAAACAAATACCTTTTCTGAAGGGATGATGACAAATGGAATGATCTATATTAATTTGCAACTAATTAATTTTTAATACAGTATAACAGTTTTAGCAGGATAAGCAGTTGCCTGATGATGGCAGAGAGGAATAAATGAAAGATAAAGTTGCATTTTAGATTTAAGTATATGTGTGTGTTAATGACACAAAATATTATATGTGAATTTTAATGAAGTCTTATGTAAAATCATAAAGAATTCTGTTAGCATAACTGGGAGGAAATATAAGTATGATTGACATACTGCATGTGAGGGAGAATCAGTAAACAGGTTACAAATGGATGTAAAACGTAAAACATGTGATATTCAAACCTGGAAAAAACATTTATTTCTTGACATATCCTCCACCAACATTGATACACTTGTCCCATCACTTTACCAGCATAATGAAACAAGCAGCATAGAAGTCTTGACTTGTCTCAGCCACTTTCATGCTCCCGTTTCAACCTCTTTGTCATCAGTGGAACGTTTGCCACGTTTCTCTCCCCAGATGTGAACCCCTTTATGTGACAAACACTTCCCACGATAAACAGGAAACATTTAATTGTGAATATCATTTGCACTGACTCCTTTTGCCCATAAAAAATACACAACAAAACGATGTTCTTCAATAGAATACCCCTCAAGCAGTTTGCCACTTTCACTACTGAAACCAGTCCCTGGACATGGCACATGCATGTCTACTTCCTAGACTGTCATGAAGTTGTACTCTGTTGCTACTTAGTGATACACATAGAAAACCTGTTACGTCAATTACGGTTGTTTTATTTCCATTTGTTCCCAATTTATTGACTCTCCCTCATAGTTAAACTTTTGGCAGCACACCCCTGAATATAGGATGGATCACCATCACCACCAATACACAGCCATGTATGAATGTAACTGAATTTTGCGAGGCATCGAAAGGTAAGCAGAAAAGTTAATGGAATAATACCAGAACACTTGGAGGAAGACAATCATACCAAGACAACACACAGTATTTTGGTGTGTGGTGTTTTTATTTGTCATGGCCTCTATTGATACAGTCACAGAATAGTTTTGAGGTCAAACATAAGGTGTTTCTGTATACAGGAGTGATGTTCTTATCCTCAACACTAGCCTGAGAGGAATGCCTGCCAACTTTGCCCTTAGGGAAAAGGCCAAAAGTTCTCATTGTGTAGGAGGGTGGGTGAGTTTCAGAGCCATGGTGATGATGCCGGATGGAATCTCTGCCCCCGTCAGGAATTTAACCCGGTTGAGTTTGGTTCATAGGATAATTATTATTGGTGAATTCTTTTATTAGGCTTTGAAGGAAATGAATATGTAAGTGACAAGGTTTCATGAATAAGGGTATCTCTTGCTTGATTGCTGAAATTGACGTCCTGTTTCTTCTTAATAGTATAATGAAAACTTGATTTTATAGTTTTCAATGGAACATAAATCAGGGAAATGAAAATGATGCAACGTAAAGAAAAATATGGGCTGCTTTGTACCATTTGGCAAAACATTTAAAATATATGTGCTGTAACAATATAAATGCAAATATATTAAACTACATGCCATGTTATTT